TTTTTGAAATTTCAAATTTTTTAAAATTTGAAATTCAAAATTTCAAAATTGGGTGTTTTAATTAAAATTAATAATTCAAAATCCAAAAACTGATTTAAAAGGTTGAGTGTTTTAATGGAGAAAATTCAAAATCCAAAAACTGATTTTAAAGGTTGAGTGTTTTAATGGAGAAAAAATAGGCATTAAAATGGGTAATTGTGTATTATAGGAGAGAGAATGTTATGTATCTATACACTTATACTAAAATTAAAAAAAGGGAATTATGTAATATTTTAAAAAAGAAGGGAAAATTAGAGAATATAAAACTTATAGTTGTGTATTTAAGTTATTTTTCCATATATTTATATAAAGTAAGAATTTCGGCCCACTGATGTGCGTACCTCAATGATTAGCAAACCTATTTGTCGCAGTTTTTTTTGGAGTTTCCCCCTATATTTCTGTTGAAATGAATTTTAATTAATTAAATGCAACATGAAATTTCCAGTCCTTAACCGTTTCTTCTAATTAAGGCAATAATAATTTATGAATTCTAATAAATTAACGTTTAAGAAGAGAAAGATACCGTTTCATATTATAATTGTAATTTGTCATGCTTAACTGTTTCTCTAATTAAGGCTAAAATAATTAATGGATCCTAATTAATAAATGTATAAGGAGAAATTATATGATGATAAATCTCAGAAAATTTAGTTAATTATGAAATCAATTAATGTCACATAAGATTCAATTGAGAAAAGAAAAGAATTTTTATTAAAAAAATTCTAAACCCGAGAGCAATATCATTCACTATACAAATTATCTTTTTATGACTAAAGGGGTACATTGGACAGAGAGAAAAAAGTAAAAAGTTGCCTTCATTTCGTCCCAAACGTCTAGGAAAATCCTGATGCCGATTAGCAACGAATGTTTGCAGTCTTTGTAGTACAGTAGCGGATCATAAAAAGCATTGTGATAATCCTTGTAAAATGAAAAACTACTTTGTTACACGTACATATGGGTTGATGGTGAATCATTATGGATATGACTTGGTGAAAGAAGTAGTACTTAAAAAACATGAAATTAACTCAACGGATTTGAAGGTGTGCATATCTACAAAAATAGTAGATATTGAACGAATGAATGAATTTGCCAGTGTGATTTTCGCGTAAGTTTTGAATATTCTTATAGTTTTCATTTTTATGTATAATGTATCATGATTTTATATTTAGAAATCCAAATCTAGATTCCGATCCGAATGTACCTCTGGATAAGATTGATAGAGCTCATCGGGCTGGAAAAGCTCAGAGAAAAGGAGCTAGTTCTTCGGTGAATCCTGTTCAAGAAGGAGTTTCAAAGGCTCTGGCAGTTGATACTGTAGGTTACATTAGGTCCCATAGTCCATTTTGTTATTGTTAGGAAAACAACCATT